CCCTCCCGCCATAGGTGGGAAGTCAGCTGGGATCAAGTGACCCAAGCAAGAAATAAATCCAGCTGTTTTCTGAAGGAATCCAGAGTAGGTGCTTGCACCACCTCTCAGGGAAGATTTTTCCAGACCCTGGACACATGCACCGTAAATAACATTTTTCTAATACCCAGTCTAAATTGGCCTTCCTGGAGTTTATGGCTATTAGACCTTGTTATTCCTTGGAGAACTCTGGTGAACAGATGTTCTCCCAGGTTCTAGTTTCATAGTAGTTTCATAATTGATTGGGTCAGAAGGGACCTGAGCAGATCATCTAGTCCGACCCCCTGCCCTGGGCAGGAAAGAATGCTAGGGTCAAATGACCCCGGCTAGGTGATTGTCTAGCCTCTTTTTGAAGACCTCCAGGGTAGAAGTGAGCACCACTTCCCTTGGAAGTTGGTTCCAGATCCTAGCCACCCTGACTGTGAAGTAGTGCCTCTTGATATCTAGCCTGAATCTACTCTCGGTCAACTTATGGCCATTGTTCCTTGTTACTCCTGGTAGTGCTTGGGGGAAAAGGGACTCCCCCATGGCCTGCTGGTCCTGTTTGGCCGGTTTGTAGATGGCCACCAGATCCCCTTTCAGCCTTCTCTTGTAGAGGCTGAACAGGTTCAGGTCCCATAGCCTCTGCTCGTAGGGCCCGCCTTGCTGCCCCAATCATGTGAGTGGCGTTCCTCTGAACCCTCTCAATGCTAGCAGCATCCCTCCTGAAGTGTGGCACCCAGAACTGGATGCAGTACTCCAACTGTGGCCTGATCAGTGTCGCATAGAGGGGGAGGATCACCTCCTTGGACCTGCTTGTGATGCATCTGTGGATACATGACAAGGTGCGGTTAGCTTTCCTGAACGTGTCCCCACATTGGTGGCCCATGTTCATTTTGGAATCCATAATGACTCCAAGATCCTTTTCTGCCTCTGTGCTGACTAGAAGGGAGTTCCCTAGGTATGCTGCTGGTTCTTCTTCCCTAGGTGCAGTACCTTGCACTTGTCAGTATTGAATCTAGTTGATTGATCTCTGGGCTCCCAGATGTTGCCCTGTGGGGCAGGCCAATGCTCAGGATCTCAATATTGCACTGTTAGGAGGGTGTGGTGTACAATTGCACATAAACAAACACACAAATCAATTAGGTGCATACACATCCAAACCAGCCTAGGTGCATGCATACCTATTACCAATTCGAGCACATACACCCCAAAAGTTAGACCAAAATCAATTGTCCATACCTGCACACTCATTACACATACACAGATCACTAATTTGTATATTATGCACACAATGACATATATATATATACACACACACAGTCACCAGTTCACACACATACAACCCACCCATACATACACACAGGTGAGTTCCTAACTTAGATGATACGGTATGTATGTGTGTTCTTGGGGTACCTGGCATACTTGAGGGAAGGTTAAGGTGAGAGAGAGAGTTAAAGCATAGGGAGTGAAAGTTGCCAG